GCTCGCAAGGAAGAGAGTTCAGTTCGCCTTCGCATCGATCTATCGATCGATCTGTTTATCGAAGCAGTCCTTTCTTGCCGTAAGTTGTTCGCAGTTTAGAAGGAGTAAAAGCCCTTGAAGTCAATAAATGAGCGCCTTTCAGCATCCTCAGCACCATATAGAACCAATATCGAAGTCGATAAAGCTTGTGCGATCGAAGAAAAGTCGAGTAAAAAAGTCTTCTTTACGAGCGAATTTTGCAAACGGCTCTGTTATTGATCTATAAAAAACAGTGTCTAGACACCTTAATGGGTTTTGTCTAGAGAGAAAAAAGCCCTCTCACTGCAGAAGAGAGTACGTGATCACCGACACGTCATCACGAGGCCCCAAGCCTGATGTCTAGATAGACGCGCGTGCCCAACTTTAGGCGCCAAAACAACCAACTGTTGGCTTAGGGCTAACGGCCCCCTTAATAACTGATGAAGAAAACACAGGGAACCCAACCAAATGGCCAACCGGCATAGCCCCCTCCTACTCTGTAAAGGAAGTACAAGTCTTTGGCCACCCTCCAACTAGCTCGTCGCCCTTGGGCCACACCTTCACTGGCCTCTCAAACTCCCTGTGAGGGTGCCCAAACACCGATCAAGCCACCAGGTCTGGCCCTACATGGTAGTAGCACCAATACTAAACTGCGTAAAAGCCCCTATTGATGGCCAAAAAAAACCCACCTATTGCTGACCATGCAAGCCCCTCTACACACTTCTTCGTGCAGAGATACATTGCTGCCTTCATTAGGCTTAATGATGCCTTCGGGCACCTCGTGGCTCATCTCCAATGCCCTTCCCCTTTCTTCTTCTACCGACCAGCGACGAGCGAGCGAACGGACGGGCTCGATACCAACTCTCTCTTTATACGCGGCCTATATGCAAATCTCCAATACTGAACGCCATCTTGTTTACCACACTTCTTCTGCTCCCTACTTCCTTCCAATACACCCTCCTCAACAACCCAGGTAAGCTTCCTTCATTGTTTTTAAAAGTGCTACACTGCAAACACTCTTTTGTTGGCTTAGCATGCTTCAGCAGTTGCACACTT